ACCACTGTACCGCCTGGGAAGACCCATGAATGGCAAACAGGCATGTACAAAGATACTCAACTTCTCTAAAAGTTGGTTGCTAGTGGAATGCAAACAGAAACCACAAAGAGGGATTACATACCCACCTAAATGGCTGAAATTTAAAATAGAAATGGGTAATTACAAAATACAAGATTGCAGAGCAACACACACTGACGGTAGGATAGCAAAAGAGCATAAGCACTTCGAAAAACTGCTTAGCAGTTTCTCATAAAATTAACCATGCACTTACCATACAACCTAGCAATGTCTACTAGGTAAAACGTTCCCTGGTGGCGCTAGTGGTAAAGAACCCACCTGCCAATGCAGGAGACCTAAGAGACATGGGTTTGATCCCTGGGTTGGGAAGATCCCCTGAAGGAGGGCATGGCAACCCACTCCAGTATTCTTGCCTGGAGAATCTCCATGGAGAGAGGAGCCTGGTGGGCTACAGTTCATGGGGTCGCAAAGAGTTGGACACGACTGAATCAATTCAGCACACACACACACATAGCCATACAAACACCTATATGCTGATAGCTTTACTCATAATACAAAGGCTGGAAATAACCCAAAATTTCAGCAACAGGTGAATGCATAAACAAATATGATATATACATAATGGACTACTGAATATACTAATATACTCAACATGGATGAACCTTGAGAGCATTATGTCCAAAGAAAGTGTTTATGTTGTATATAACTCTGTGACCCCATGGACTGTAGCCTGCCAGGCTCCAACACGGCAACCAGTTTATGACCTTCTGGAAAAGGCTAATAAACTAAAAGGACAGAAAGTTTGTTGGTTCGCAAAACTCTTGGGGAATTGAGTAAGGGGATTAATGAACAAAGGGACAGAGGAACATTTTGGGAGTGATCAAAATGTCAAGTATTGATTGGGGTGATGGTTATACAACTGTATAGAGTTGTTAAGCTTCATCAAACTACACCTAAAAAAGATAATTTACTGTATGTAAATTTGTCTACGAAATACTCAGTGCCTGTTGAAATCCTAGTATTTGATACACAACGAAATGTCCACCACAAAATTTTGATTATTAACCCCAAAGTTGTGAATGGCTGCCTAGAATCCAGCTTTGAGTGAAGAAAATAAAAAGATCTAAAATTTCTAAAAGGGAGATTTAGCATATAAACTTGAATTTCCAGCTTGGTTTAAAATACCATTAGGCACTGTTGCAAGACAGAGCCAGAGATGTGAGTTTATTTATCCCAGACCTTCACCACTTCCAGTGACTTACACTTAACCATTTAACTTCCTGGGCTGCTTATTTACCTCTCTTTCCTCAATACTCGACTAATCCTTAAGCCATGTTTCCTTTCTGATACCTATCAGCTCTTTCATCTTTACCATATTCATTATACCTTGGCTTTATATTAGAGGTCTTTGAACACATTTTTAAAACTCCAACCAAACCATAATTCAAGACAACCTCTGAACTACCAATCTATTTTTATAGACTCACACAATGCCTTCCAGAGTTGGTACTTAATAAAATGAACATGATCAGTATTACTAAGCAATTAATAAAGAAATTCTCTGAAGGAATACCATGAAAATGTCTATTACAGACAAATGTTAAAAAAAAAAAAAAACAAGTTATAAATGTAGTTTCCCCATTTTTATCATGAATTCTCAATCTGGTTCCACTTACTACAGTCTATTTTTAATTATAAATGAAGACTCCACACACACACAAAAAAAACTAGCATCTTTTCAAACAGAATAAAATAGGCCCACACATTAAAAGAATGCAAGAAACTTGCCAAATACAAGTAACTCCCAAATTTGGGTTAAATTTAGCATATGACTGATAGCAGTATTTAAGAAGCAATTTTTAAAATGTTTAACTTTAAAAGGTTATTTAATGGGATACAAATGCATTTAATGTGGGGTGAGGTCTCCAAATATTATTTTGAGCCCTGAGTCACATCCAAAACTATCATATAATAACTAGACACTGTAAATTTATAGTGAGATTCACAGAAGCTAGAAGGTTATGGTTGCGTGAAAGGGTAACAATCTTGAGTTGCATTAACAGAAGAAATGGCATGTCTGGTCCCCTGGAAAATACAGGTCCCATTACACTCTGCGCAGTTTAGACTACAGTATTGACTATAATCCAGAAAACTCCTAGCAGAAATTAAGCAGGAATGTTCGCAGAAGTTAAGCAGGAATGTTCAAAGCTGTTCAAAGAAGAAGGCTGAGGGGAAACAGGCTATTCAGCCTAAACAATAAAGATGACAGTTAACTCAAATAACTAAATGGCATCATGCAGAACAGCCAGACATCTTTAACTTTACTCTAGTAAGAATTAAAAACAATTGGTTACAGAGAATTGGAGAAGGCTATGGCAACCCATTCCAGTACTCTTGCCTGGAAAATCCCATGTACGGAGGAGCCTGGGAGGCTGCAGTCCGTGGGGTCGCAAAGAGTCAGACATGACTGAGCAACTTCAACTTTCACTTTTCATTTGCATGCATTAGAGAAGGACATGGCAACCCACTCCAGTGTTCTTGCCAGGAGAATCCCAGGGAAGGGGAAGCCTGGCGGGCTGCCGTCTATGGGGTCGCACAGAGTCATTCATGACTGAAGCGACTTAGCAGCAGCAGTTAGAGAAACAGTATTCAGCTCAGCATTTCTAAAGGAACTATTAAGATGTCTTCTAAAGTAATGGTGTCTCTAAAGTATCTGAGCAGAAGGGATGGCCATTAAAATCATTGAGAACAGAAGCACAATTGTTTGCAGGGACCTTACAAACCTAAAAATCCTAGGACTAAGTCATATAGCTTTTATTTTGGGGGATTCTAGCTAAATGGATTGATAACAGAGTATATTTATTTTATCCTGTCCTATACCCAAGTTGTCATAACTCCCTCACCATTTACAAGCAAAGGCTCCATTTGCTGCTGGTCATCCTTCCTTATGCTGCACAGTCTGTATCCACTGTTGGGTGAATCCAGGGATGTGGGACCTGGGTTAACAGAGGGCCAACTGCATCATGCCATTTAATACAAGGGACTTGAGCAACCATGGATTTTGGTATCCACAAGGGGCCCTAGAACCAATCCCTAACAGATACTGAGAACTGTATTCACAACAAAAAAAAGTTCTATTTTACTATTTTGAGAGAGAAGGAGATCTCTCAAGAAAACGTCAAACAATATTTTTCTGAATATTATGGGGGGATTTTAATATTTTGGTAGGCATGATAATAGGGAATAAAAATTCAGTTTGCTCTAATGACTCCATGTAGCCACTACCAACATATATTCACCACTTATCAGATACAGAGAATACTAGCCATTCCTAGAAACTCTGCCAAATAAATAACCAACACTGTTTTACACACTGCTCTATAACTTGTCTCTGTAAGAAAACATAATGGTCAAACTCCAGATTTTAAAAAGCACAAGCTTAAACAATACATACACTAGAAAGCTATTTATTATAAAATCAGATAGATTTATAAAGATATGCAACTGATTTACCAACTGTATACTGTGGTATAATTTGATTAACAGACAACGTAGGTGTATATATATGTTGCCAACAGTTAAACTCAGGATAAATTTGTAACTGATTTAAATAAAACCTAAATTATTATTTCAGCTCATAGATTACTCGACAGGAGCAAAACTAGGCACTTAATAGAAGCATCCCAGTAGTGTGAAAAATTCTTAACTTTCCCAATTAATTCCCTTAAACCATACTAGAAATATGTCTCAAAGTAGTATTTAAATTCCAGCTATGTACACTTATAATCTACTTTCACATTTAATATTTTTAATGAGTGGGATAGGTAGAAGAGGTGAGTCGGGCATTAATGAGTACAGTATGCATGCTTTAAGTATAAGGAACTGATACTAGGGACACTTTGATAGGACTCACCCTGAAGAATACACCTGACCCTAAAGATGGGTCACACCTACCCTCTCATGGGTCATTTGTGGATAAAATAGTTTTTTTAACACGTCTATGCCTGTCACAGGGAAGGAAATTCACATTTTAACACACTATACTGACTTTGTACACTGCACAAAACATCCAACATTAAGAATTCAATAAACTGACCAAGATCTACAATATCACTTCCTATTGTCTATTTAACACAAACATTTGTTTCAGTGACTAGACTGCATAGAATGTCTAAGTAAAACAAAAAGATCTGCTAAAAATTTGGTAACAAAATAAATAATCAGTCTTAATAGAATGAACTTCATGATGAAAACTATTATTATTCTGTCTTTGGGGATCCAATTCTGAGCTAAAAACATAACTTTATCCCATTAGATCAGATCCTAAGTAACCTAACAAAGTGCTACGGTATGTTCTTTAAAACATACGCTTTAATGACTACGTTAAAGAGCAGCCCCTGTGGAAAGATGCTGAATAGGGAATCACAGTACACTTACAGTTTAAGGAAACAAAAAAAAACCCCACACTTGGGAAGAAAAGAAGCCATACTCAGAGAGACCAGAACAAAAATATTAAAGTGCTGTGGCCGAAATTAGTATAAATAGACTTTATTGAAGTCAGTGCCTCTGTACCGAGACAGAAGATTGTGTCTACATAAGCACAAGTTGTAACATTTCACAACTTCTAAAAGGAATGTCAACAATTACAACGATCATGCATACCATGGTCGATAATCACATTTTAGAAGCATTTTCAACCATTTCTAAAGAAATGCTTATAACATTGTTATATATAGAACTACTTTCAATAAACTGCAAAACATTGATCGACTTTTCCAGTATGAGCTACAGTGTCAACACAAAAGGGAGGCATAAATGTTTAATTTATGAAATCAGAATGGAATATTTACTGTAAAGAAAAATTAAAAAGCTTTCAAATAAAGGCCATTATTGAACCAACATGAAGAGCACAACTTGAACTTTTCAGTTCGTTCATCTTTTAAAGCTGTCCTCTGAATAACTTCAGTTCTAAGCATTGAATTTCAGTACTGTGAATATTCCTTGGATTGCAGTTTGGCAATGATGCGGTCCAACTGTCTCTTTGCTTCACACTGTGGGAAATTGCTCATGTCATAATATTGAGGGGCAATTTTCACCAACCTGTCCAGGAAGGGAAAAATCACCAAATTAACAATTAGAGTACTGGAGCTGCTGATAGGATAGGCATTATTCATTAGTACACTGATAAATGCAAACCTATAAATCCAAGCCAATGTTAAAATTACAAACGCCTAATCCTTATAAACAGCACTTTTAGAAATGTGTGCATCTTAGTAAGCTGCACATTTTCTGATGGTGGACTTTTCATAAACTTAACAAAAAAACCACTCAAGATAAATTCTTGTAAAAAAAATACTCCTTTCTTTTACACAGACATTAACATAAGGTCAGAGGTTTCTTCACTCAGGAGCACTATTTTGATCTCTCTCTAAAGTTACAATATTACAAGTTCCATACAAGGAACACCCTGATATTCAAATGACTGGATCTTCTCATTTCCCAAGTTTTAATAACCATAAATGTAACTCTGTACCCCAAAGAATACATCTGACTGAATCTTTTTAAACATTTAGCCATACAATTTTTTTTCTCAACAAAGCATTTAAGATAAAATGGTAATGTCCTACACAATTTAAGTGTCAAAAGTCAATGATGTGGAGGAAAGAAGCCTCAAAATATACAGCAAGTGACATCAACTAAAGTAAGTGCTTTCAGTCCCGCCATTCTTGGCTGACATTTTCTATCTTAAGTTACAGAACACTTTCTGGCCCCTGAAAAAAAAGTCACAAAAGGACTGCAGTGGGTGGGTAATTTTGCTTAAAGTCAGTCAGTTCTGATCACATTTTGTGAATCAAATATGCAATGGTTCAAAAAGAGATGCAGTTTTTAATGCTTGCTTTCCTCTTAAAACACCAACATATAAATAAACAATAACTGAGAGCTGAAATACAAAGATGACTGACGACTGGAACCTGGAGACCAAGTTAATCATAACAGCAAGAGAATGGCTTCAAAGGTACTCTTCATGTTAGTCAAGTATAATTTTGTCTCCAAATTTCCCCTGCCCATACTAACAATTCTACCATCCTCTTCACAAAGGAATTATTCTTAAGAGATAATCACACCATTTTGTGCCCCAAATCTATACACAGGAGTATACACCCTAGCTGGGGAACACCCGAGTTTCCCAGAGTGAAAGGAAGAACAAGACAAGACTCTTTTCAGATTCCATTCTGAGCAAAATGATAAAGAAAACTTTTAGAATGAAAGACACTGAGCTTACCATTCGGGCTTGATATCTGTACACGTCCGGATGTAGTTCTTTGTTGTAAGAACAAACTCATTATAAAGCACCCATTCAGGCTTGTGGTCAAGAACAGTGGAGGGATGCAACTGAACCACCTGGTTATCTTTCACAGTTAAGTAATGCCCTGTTCGTTCTAAATGTGCCACCTGAAACCGAAACCCAGTAAATTAATACAATGCTTCTGACGTGCTAGTTACAAAAGTGATGTAAAGCTACCTATATAATCAGGGAAAGGCAAGCCTCACCTATTGCTTTTAATCTAATGGGTAGACTTATTTACCACTGCCCAATAAAAGCAGCAATCAGCAAACTACAGCAGGCTAAATCCAACTCACTGCCTACATCTTTAAGGGGTCTTAGCCAAGAACAGTTTATACACCTTTAAATGGCTGGGGACAAATATCAAGAGAAATACTTGGTGATACTGGAGTGGAAATCACATGAAATTCAAAATGGTAAGTAAAGTTTTTTGGAACATGGCATGCCCATTTGTCCAAAGTTGCTTTTGCACAACAAGGGGAGGCAGAGCTGAACTGTTTCAATAAGGAACCTAATGAACCCACAAAGTCTAATATATACTATTTGGTCTTTCTGCCCGAGACTGGTTCTTTAATACCAGGTGGGAACTATGTAGTAGATGAATAATTACTAAAAGATGAAAATTCATGTTTAAGATAGAAAAATAGAGCAAAAGTGACCCACAATGAGAGCTTTAATAAGAAAAGGAACTGGGGAGTGGGGAGAGGAGAAAGGAGATGCATGTGTTTCTTGGCCTACATTTCTATATATAATCAAATATATCAACTGGATCGATATCATCTAGTAGTTAACAAATATCAAAGCAGATGACAACATGCGCTTTTCAATTCTAGAACTCTAGTAACACATGGCTAATTCATTTCAATGTATGACAAAAACCACTGCAATGATGTAAAGTAATTAGCCTCCAACTAATAAAAATAAATGGAAAAAAAAATTTTTAAAAAAGGACTCTAGTAACAAAGAGCATGTATGAAAAACAGAAATGGGCAATTCATTAATTATTAACATATAATAGAAAATGCTTGAGTAATAGATTTAGGAGTGAAAATCCAAACTCTGATAAGCACTGAAACTTCAGAATAAGATGCCACAATAAACTTTCGGTTATTCTGATCTCAAACACAGACAAGGCATCAATCTCCTTTCATTCTGCCTCCATGCACTTAATGGCCACTCTAAGTATTTGGCTCATTTGGCCTTAAGGCAGGCTACACCTTCCTTATTATACACAGCCAAAGGAAAGAATCAAAGAACAAGTGGGATATTTAAAAGATAACTAAAATCAACCTCATCTCAAATAAGGGACTGATGTGTTTTCATTTTTTCACCAGAAACACTTTCATTTTGAAAAACATAATTGGTTTAATGTCCCTTAAACTATAAGAATTACCTGACAAGTTGTAACTTCAGTCTCCAATATAAAACACTTAAAACCAAAAGCAATATTTTAAAATTATTTTTCATCCTAAATCATTATTCCATATCTGACTTTCCCAGCGCCCAAGTGTCTTATTATAAATACCAAAGATCGCGCTACAGGATTGTGCATAAAGCAGTTGCTTATTTGAATTTTAGGGTGGTTAGTTTCCACAAAGTGAGGAAAGTGAATTGTACTTCTGGATCCATCCAGGAAACTGTTTCCTTGCAGCATTCCAGTACAATTATACATCTCCAATTAAGATCAAGATTCAAAGAAAGTCTTTGATACATTTATCCAAAGTCAAAATTTGCATTGAAGAAATAACTAATAAAAGTCACCTGAAAACAGTCAATATATCTATTTAGTATAAAAAGACTCCATTATTAAAAAAGTGCTTGTAAAACTGATTTCTACATAACTGGATCCCTAACTATGCCATTTGGTAAACTTAGACATGTAAAAACTTCTCAGTATATTAGTTCATTCAAGAATCTGGACCTAAAATTAAAGATTATTTATAGGCATTCTTTAACTGAATTTTGTGTTTAAGTGGATTCCAAGTACTGCTTATAGAAGAGAAATATTAAGTAAGCATTTAATTATGTACTCCTGTACTGTCCACATACCTGCATAAAATACCCAGTAACCAAAGCTTTTCTTATATTAATATAATAGTCCCTGCTTGTAAAGTCAGTACTTCGACGAGGCAAATTAAATCTGTCCATAATTCTTGATAGCTGCTGGCGTACATTATCTGCTGACATCAGGGACCTGTAGTTAATGAAGTTGTCATAACACCACTGAACCGACTCATGATCTACAAAGTTGGAAAGAGGGAAAATAAGAGGGGACATGAATCATCCATATAAGTGTATTACCTAATTAAAAAATCAGTATAAGTAGCAAGTAAAACCAAAAAGGGAACTAAACCACATCATTTTATAAAATTAATCACAGTCTTAATCAACTTTACTAAAAACGTGGAGTCAAGTTCAAAATTAAAAACAGCACTAAGGTTTTTAGCTACCGAATGACAAAACAATGATTTTGGAAAAACTATTTTTAAGTTATTTTACCCATGAAAATCTGCCTGGCTGTTTTCAATGGATAGTCTTAACAGGAGTGGATTGAGAGAATCTGGAAAAATGCCATGTCTTTCTCATTTTCAAAGAAAAACAGGCTTAGATTAAGACTATCAAATACAACTTCAAAGTTATAAAAATGAACCTCAAGAGACTATTGTCACATTTTCTTCTCATTTAATTTTTATAAATAGTGTATTCCTCATTATCACTGTTTCCTTGTTTTCAAATAACTTGGAAAATGTTTTTTCATGTTGCTAAATATTTTCTGAAAATATGATATAAAGCTAGAATAATATTTCATCATGTAGCGATAGCATCACATTGAGCCATCTTTCTATTGGTGGGTATTTTAGGTATTTTTCATTTTTCTTTAGTATCATAAAAAACTGTGAGATAAAAAACTTGAGTCATATCTCCGTCCAAAGAATACTGAAAGAAAATTTCACAGATTATCTATAGGTCTAAGGGTATGAATTTGTTAAGGTTCTTGGTAGCATCAAATCTACTGCTTTTCATAAAGGTAACATGTATTTCTATTCCCGCCTCTGTGTTAAGACTGCTGCACTGCACGAGACCCACTCCTACACAGCTCTGACTATTTTTCTTTAGCCTTTGCCGATTTTATAGGTGAGGAAATGGTACCTCTCAGTAATGCACATTTACTGAACTGCAAGTAATGCTGAATAGCCCCCCACTCTAGTTTATGAACCACTTACAACCTGGTCATTCACATTTGTAGCCTATTTTCCTATTTCGTTAGTTTACTTTTACATAAGAGCTATTTATTAGGAAAAATATTAGATAGTAATAATTACTTAAGTAATACAAAACTATTCACACAAAAGGCAAAGTTTAAAAAAAGAAAACCATATCAAAATCTGTATGTTTGTGGTAAATTTTATACCAGCATTTCATTTTTACTGCTCTGTATTTCCCGCTTTCTAGTGCTTTCCTCCTGATTATAAAAATAAACAACATTGGAAAAGATGGGCAATTTTTATTTTAAATGCTAGTCAGGAGTTTTTTCTCAAGTACCTCTGGGTTTCTAATGTAAAGTTGTCACAGATAATAAATGAAAAGTGAGATGAAGAAATACCTTATATGCTGCAAGTGACGTTTAGACAAAGAGTGCCTTCAATCTAATTTATACTTACTTTGTTTGAAAGCATGGTAGACATTCAGCAATGTCAGATGATCTCCATCTATGTGGGCAAATCTCATCTTGGCCTCATCTGCAGCTTTCTTGGCCTCCGTGGGACGAACAAAACACTGTGGGACTAAACAAGGTTGGTATGGGCCCAACACAAACGCCCATATCGATGAGTCACGCATTCACAGACAGAGGAACAAGGCCTAGCTAGGTCAGTTCACAGAGCATAGGGCAGGGCAGGATGGCCTCCAACTGCATCTTGGACTGTTTACTACCTTGATTTGGTACATCAACACCTAACCACATCTGTAAGACAAGAGGGTTTCAAAGCTACAGAGTACCTGATTATTTTTAACTAAATCTAAAAGTAGGCAACAAAAACAGCTATTCTGAAGGCCATCAAGATACTAAAAGCTCAACTTATTGAAAAAACCAGTGCCGATAGCTCTACCAATAACCAGAATTATGGTGTCAATAGCCTTTTAGCTAAACAAAATTTTTCAAAAGGTCATCCATTCAATCCGCTAAATTCCCCACTGCAGGACTAAAAACAACTTTCCAACCAGTCTACGGCCACATTTCTATCGTCATTCTTCCCTAGTGCTGTGGCTATTACCAACTGGTGGGTATCACTATTAGCACTGGTGAGCAGAAGCATATGTAACATAAAAAATACCATGAAATCTTGGGCTTTGATGATAGCAGTAGTGGTGGAAGGTTAAACCGCCTTTGAATTAAGAAAATTCAAAAAGGCTAGGAATATTCAGCCTAGTTTTCCAAATAAAGTCCCAAGTTCTTTTTAAAAATTGTTATTTGACTCGAAGTCCTCATATAAAAGCAGAATCCAATATTTTAAACGTTGACAATTAGTCTGAAACAGTCATTATGTCAGGGTCATCAAAATGAACGACAATATTTTTTTAGAGCCTCAGTATTAAATCACATAAAACTTGAAGTTGTTACAAAGTGTGTTCTATATTTTTTGAAATACAACTTTCCTTAATTCACTTTAGCAATTCCATAGTTATAAAAGCAGTATGAAAATAAAAATACTTAACAGCTTGGGACTTTGTCAACACATTTTTAAAGCTCTTAAAACTTTGTCAATAAAAAAAAAAATTATAAATCGTCGGTTCAGATAGAAGATAATAGGAATAATCAACAAGATCAAATACAGTATCAAATTACTCTTTGCCATCCATACAGTTTCCCCTTTAAAATGATTCCAAAGAAGCCAAATAGAAACAATGACACATGATCACAGTAAATATTAAGTCTTGCTTAATGTAACTGAAGCAAGGTAACAGATATAAATACAGAAATCTCGCATAGCTGTGAACGTTAATGTGAACTAGCTACCAGTTAAACGATTGGGTTTAAGAAGCACTCAATAAGGCCCCTGATTTTTTACTATTTGTATCAGGACCCCCAAACTCCAGAAACTCCTTAAATGGTAAACAAAGCATTACAAACTAAGCAAACTGTTTTAGCTGCATGACTTCTTAACCCTTCAACACCCCCCCCCACAAATGCCTTGCTTAATAACTAATACTCATAAATGTTCACTCTCTTGATGTGCTAAAGACAACTAGTTATCCCCATGCTTTGCAGAACCACTACAAGAGATGTAGGTGGGAGATCTCAACTGCATCATAATGACCCATTTTTTAAAGGGCTAGCTAGTTTTCTAAACTCCATCAATGCTAACCCTATAGTATGCCCGATAAAAGAGAACCTAGAAAAATAAAAACTAGGTAGGTAACAAACACAATCTGTTAACTCTTACCCTACACTCTCTAAAGCTAAAATGTTGGGTTAACTACAACCAAGAGAATCTAACAAAAATCACATATATGAGAAAAGGCAGACAACAACCTACCACCACCTCCGCAAGAAACTACAATTTCATTAAAATGATTCAGTACTGCCCTGCCCATCTGCTCTGAGTCTGATCATAACTGCAAAAAAAAAAAAACATTTTTGCTAGTTCTTAAATTAAAAATTCACATCATTAAAACATACATCTAAACTAAGTCAAAAATTTTATATTTAGAAATTTAAAAAATTTCTTCCTTTAATTTCATGTAAGAGTTTGAATTATTTGAGGTATTTAATTATAAATAAGACCAATAAACCACTCTATGACTGGAAATAAATTTTCCCCAGTACTGAAATTAGTATTATAGAGTACTTTGTCAGTCAGTAAAAACTTAATATGCTTTCTATTTTTAGCTGTAAGAATCACTGTACATTTCTATGCTAATAATATTTCTCTGTTTTGGAAAATTTTAATTCCAAGTTACTATTTGTGAATTAAGTGTTACAGCTATTGATAAAAAACAGTAGTATTTGTTCAGCTCAATGTTCCTTCCGATTTTTAAAATTAAGCAATTTTACCTATTAAACATATTTCTCTTATCAAGTGTTTTCTTGCTACTGTAAAAGAATTACCGTCAGATTAGATTTTAAACCTAAAATTATACATTACTACTTCTATTTATTTGATACTAAAATAATTATTTGACTGCCACTGCAATACAATTTATACATGAAGAAAAAGCTTACTTTTTAAATGATAGCTTGGTTTGTCTCAGGCTCACTTAAATAGTGCCAGCTACTAGAACAAAGTTCTTCCTGAGCTTTCAGCAATAAACTGCAAAACTGATGGACCTACCAAAGAACTCTGTTATAGTATCTTCAGACTTAATTTTTTGGCTATAATGTGAGGCTTGCGGGATGGAACCCACACCCCCTGCAGTGGAAGCACAGATTCTTAACTACTGGACCACCAGGAAATCCTGGACCTATTCTTTTCTTACTGATATTTTAATCTGAGCCAATGTTTTTTTACTACATTTTGTGCACAATGCTTTACTTTACTTTTGTAAACACTATATTATTATGAAGCTATTTTTCAAGATATTTAGCAAACAAAAGGAGTCCTTTAAAAACATCTATAAAATTCACTATCATACTAAGTACTAAAAAACAAACCCAAAAGTGAAGTCCACCCAAACTTTGAAGAGCTGGGTTTTTTTTAGTTCCTTTCCCTCTATTACCTGACAACATAGCAGTAATAGATAGGACCTCATTAGAACAGTTGTAGTCACAACTTGCAATAACCATTTTAGCGAGCTGTGGATCTAGAGGAAACTCGGCCATCATGGATCCCAATTCAGTCAGATCTCCATCATCATTTAAAGCAGCCAGATAATTCAAAAGTTCTAGGGCTCTCATCAGAGTTTCAGGAGCTAGGAGGAAAAGGCAATCTATTAAGACAAGCTGCCTTAATAAGCAAAAACGTGACAAAGCACAAACTATTAGAGGCAATCTCATTTTTCATTCTACAGTGGACCAAATATAAAACTCAAACTGCCATCAAATTCAATTACAGAGATCTAGCAAACTATGAATCATGTAAAACTGCAAAACTTGCCTGTACAGTAGTTAAATGTTACCTTCTTAAGTACATTAACTGTTAACAATGTGTTTATCAAATTATTTTCCCTCAAAAAAAGGAGAAAATTTTTCACATTTTCATGCCCTGCCAATAACTCCCAAAATAATTTAGTTACCCTGAAAGATATGGGGAAAAAAGAGAATTTGCTATTTTTCCACTCTTTTAGATTTAATGCCAACACACAAAATTTCTCTTAATGTATTGCAAAGGAAAGGTAAAATGTATTTAATATATAGAAGGAATAGGGTAGTCAATTTTGGTTAAAAAGTTTGATAAAACATGCTTTGAGAATTTATACCTGGTGGATCCATAAAATCAAAATGCACCAAATCATCAATACCAAGTTTCTTCAACTGTAACACAACTGATCCTAAATTAGAACGCAAAATCTCAGGATAGGTATTATCCTAGAAAAATACAAAAACATTTGTTTTGTTAAATATCCCATAATCTTCTTGCTCCAGAAAAAAAAAAAACATATCTGTTCTCATCCTTAGCTGTTTACTTTGGCATTTCTTCTAAACAACTGACTTAGACAGGAGAAAAGTATTTGTGGACTAAAAAGGAATCAGATACTTCCTGTAAGCTATCTTTATAGGGTTCGAAAGGTTATCACTGCTGCCCAATTCGACTTAGAACTATAACAAAGGGTTGACTACACCATAAATCTCAGGGAAAACCTAAACAGCTTATAGTGCCAAAAAAGACAAAGTAAGTGAAGTACTTTCCCTCTGGTACCAAGTTTAACTTAACCTTCCAAAAACAGACTAAGGACACAGTAAAACCCTTACCTGCATCTCTGTTTTGTAAGCTTTCTCTGTATAAAGTCGGAAGCACTTTCCAGGTCTGGTTCGTCCTGCTCGACCAGCCCTTTGCTGAGCTGAAGCTTTACTAATGGCTGTCACTAACAGGGACTCAACTCTGATTCGAGGATTATACACCTATTGGAATGTAAATAACATTACAATTCGTCCTGGAGTTAAACACAAAACTGTGATCTAACAAAAGTATCCAAAGCCCAAAGTTAACCCCAAAATAAACAAAGTAGCATTGATGACCAGCATAAATCATGCTGGGACAGAAACAGAATTCATCATTCCTTAACTTTCTTTCAGGTATTCTGACTCCAGCATTCTGAGAGCCTCAAGCTAACATGAAAAGTCACTTAACACAGAGATAGCTCTACTCTTCCTTATTTAAAATACTTTCAGTTTTACCTTACTTTTATATGGTGAATAGTGCTAAAGGCTTTTGCCTGAAAAAAAACTTGTCAATTTCAGCACCCAATGTTCAGTGTGGATATTAAGAAAAACATTTTGAATTCAGTCCAGAGGAAGTCAGTTATATGCTGCCAATTTCAAGAATTGTTTTCCAACAAAAATGTGAATACTGTGTACAAATTCTCCCAATTATAAAACATAATCAAATGCAATCAAAGATCTTAGGTAAGAAACAGTTTTATTTAGTAACTGAGTAATCCCTTAATTTGGCTAAAGTGCTTGGGTACTCAGTACTGTTGAACTAGAGGTTAACATAATACTTTTTTTCCCCCCCCAAGTACTATGCCTGGCACATAATAGAAACTAATTTAGCTGACTGAGTAACTAATAGGCAAGGATGATAATCATGTACTTTTTACTACTCCTTCATGAATATACACTCACATATAAAACATTCACAATCACCACACAGACACAAAGAAACCAATGAAAAGAAAAAAAAAACAGCAACAAAAAACAAAGCATAGGATTATAAACATGGGCTTAGTATGTGAAAACCAGCTAGAACCAAAGGCTCGAATCAAAGACTTCTGAAAATGAAACACAAACTGGAAAATAATTATAAAAAGTAAACTTCAGGCATGAAACAAGTAAGCAATAAGTACTATTAAATTAACACTAATTTTATAAAGTACTATAGTACTAAAATATGTTACCTTTTGTTTCGCAAATCCAGGATCAATTACAAACACCACACCATCTATTGTCAAAGATGTTTCTGCAATGTTAGTTGACACAACTACCTGTTTAGATATAAACAGTATTTAACTTAAACTACAAGCCAAGTACAATTCAAGTAAGATTAGTCATTAACTTATACTAAACAATCAATTACAAACCAGTAAATAAGCAGGAATTAAGTTTAATCTTTAATAACCAATGCTATATAAAGACAAATTAATATTTAAGAATTCAAAGTTTCATTTAGTTCATCATAGCACCTTCCTTTTACAACAAAAAATCTTCAGGTTATTACTTGACTACATTAGGTTTTAATTATTCAAATAGCAGGACAAAATCAGAAGAAAATGACTGGTAAGGCAATAAGCTTATCTCAGAGAGTTCCCTGAGAAAACGCTCCTTGATTAATATTCAAACTGTACAGCATGTCCATGTTTCAATACTTTCAGGCAACATTTACAAAAGATAACTGTTATCATCAAAAGTCAACTAAATATTTTAAATGAAACGGCACGTGGGGGTGAAAATCTCAACTTAGAATCCAGTAAGAATTGGCGTATCATCAGAATTGATCATAGATGTTCTGAAAATCTCAAAGTGGGTGTCACAGCATACAAGGAATCTTAAGGAATCATTTGAACTTTTTATTGAAAGTAAGGTTCAAAGCATTTACATACTAACATGGATTGTTTTTTCATGTGGGTGTTTTACTGTATTTTAAATATGCTTTAGAAAATTAGGGACCTGTGAATGACATATCACATAATTTTCTTTTTAAGCAATGGAAAAATGGGATCTTCATTAGTATTTTTCTCAGAGCATCTGATTTGAGGAAGATTAGTGCCATTAAGGTGAAGATGCCTCAATATGCAAGCAGTTGACACAGAAAATGAATCAAGAGTCTGCTCTTAAAGCTTTTAGAATTTGTAAAGAAAGATTAGAGGTGGAATGGAAGTACAATGACATAAAAAACATGCCATAAAATTTTTAAAGGGTTTATTTCCTAAGCAAAGACAAGGAAAACTTACTCAGAAAATGGCATTTAGGAGAGCTGTTGAAGATAAGGTGCGATCTTCCCTGGTGGTTCAGATGGTAAAGCGTCTGCCTACAATGCGGGAGACCAGGGTTCAATCCCTGGGTCAGGAAGATCTCCTAGAGAAGGAAATGGCAACCCACTCCAGTATTCTTGCCTGGAAAATCCCATGGACGGAGAAGCCTGGTGGGCTATAGTCCAAGGGGTCACGAAGAGTTGGACACAACTGAGCGACTTCACTTCACCCACAAGGGAGAAGTGAAGAGCATTAGCAATAGAAGGTTCTGCTTAAACAAGAGCATGTGGATAAGAATGCCCTTAGGCACATATAAGAAAGGACTCACATTGCCAGGTAGTCTTGGAGGTTTAAAAGGCTACTAGAACATCATTAACAGGATGATATAATACAATTATTTACATGTCTAAAACCAAAAGGCTCCCTTTTTGCACTGATCAGCTGAAAAGAATACTAACTAGCAAATGAACAGTAAACTGTAAGTGGTCTGATGCTAATGAAATATATTTCCCAAAACATTTCAAAGACATGACATTCAATAATTAGAGCTGAAGCAAGCATAAACAAGGTCAGGAGGTGAACTTCAATAAGTATAAGCAGAGTTTAATATTCTTCTACAATGTCAGTGTGTTGCAGTGGAAAGGTAGGTATCAAAGCCAGGAATCAAATCTAAGTAGCTAAGTAAGAGTGGGGAGGTTTTAACACACTCAAACTTCAATTTTCTTTTATAACTCTTGCATACTAGTCAGCTGAGACAGATCCCTTATAAACTATATAGAATCACAAACCACATGCTTGTTATTATATAAGAGGTCTTGTGGCTTCCTGGAATTCTGGGGTAAAAACTAGTTCTGGAAAATGTACATCTAAATAGAAGTATAAAACATATATTTTGGGGAAAAAATACACTTCATCTATTTCTTCTAGAACAAAATACAGTGTAATAAAAATGTACTGATGCAGACTCTTAAAAATAATTTTTGTTCATAAAAATTGGTGTTCACATGTTATCTCTGGGTCTGTGTGACAAATTGTACAACATCTATAAGGAGGTGTGGATCTGTGATTCCACAGATACTAAGAATCAGGTAGTGTTCACACCAACTTTGGCAAGCTCTGTGTCGTTACTGTTGAGTCAACTGCCACCCAAAAGTTAAACTCTGAAATCCCAAGTGTTAACAAAGATCTAGAGAAACACAGCTTTTAGGTTTTTTCCAAATAATAAAATTAATGAGCTAGAAAGCTTTAAAAAGACAACAAGTTTTTGAGTAGGACCTCCCTGACCCATGAGAAATGGCTTTTGGGACAAAAAAGGGAAAAACTCAAACTGTACAACTTTGGGCTGCAGATACAATACTCGCTAAGGCTAAATAAAACATGTACACACGCACACTCCGCAAAAAAAAACAAAAACCAGACAAATAAATGATACAAGTTATCTAGCTGCCTTGGAAGCTTAACAGTTGGGGGAGGCAAGCCCTAAGTATTTTCTAGATGTAGTAAGTGGCACATGATCTATTTAGGAAACGGTCACAACACAAAGTGGTCCTGGAATTTGTCAAAGAATTCATATGCTATAAAGCTTTCTAGACTATAGCTTGGCAACAGTGTTCAAAGAGCCTTAAAGAGTGTTTAAACCTCAACGACAAAGGAATTATTTCAGATAAATAGCCCAATATATAGAATAAACTCTGATAAAAAATTAAGACAATGCCAATTCTCATCTTTCTATATTAAATGTGTTAAGAATAAACTCTCATCTAGATTTATCTCCTTCCCCCTCAATAATCTGCTTTTTAATGGAATTCACATTGATTTATTTCAATAATTCCATTTCAAAGTACTTGAGATGCTCTACTTGAATTCTATTTGGACACAATAATGCATTTAGGTTAAAGAAGTGTGGGTTTTTAGTCCCTAGGGAACTCGGTGGGGTCTCTAATTCAGTGAGGACATTAGCTTGTTTGTTTGTAAATATTCCAGCAGTACCACACCAAGTTATCTTCAGATGGTGGATCATTAAGCCTCTCTTTAAAATTAGAGAGACATCGCCACAAGGGCCATCTCTCTTTTTTATTGAGCAATGTATGCTCTGAGCCATGTTAATTAGTAAACTCTGAGATAAGATACAGGAAAATCAGCTATCTGTATGGGCAAAATTAATGAAAATGAAATAAAAATAAAAATCGTTGCTGGATTTAATAACACCAAATCTATAAAACAGCAAATATAAGTCTCATTCAAAAAAATGCATACATAATTTATTGATGAGTAAATGTTAATGTATGTACAAAGCAACTGCAGCTTTAGCTTAAAGTCAAATATATGAATAAATATCAAAAATTATCAAAACAGGTAAAGTATCCACCCTCAAAAATTTATGTATTGCATTCTCAACTTTTCTTGACTACTAGAAAGCTTCAAAGTCTACCATTGATTCTATGTGAGAGCACCACACAAAAAGAGCTCAATAACTATTTGTAAAAGGAATGCTAGTTAAGTACCCAATGCCCATAGAAGTTAACCTTTAATATAGCCTACATTTTAAAACTTTACTAAAAGGCTGTTTTGTTAGTTTCATCACAATCAATTAGAAACTACTTTGCATAAAGTAATACAATGAGGAGTAAGACAACAGATGAAGTACTACTTTACAAAATGTGATCCAATACAATTGAACAAAAGTATGAATCAAATAGTATTTTAAGTAATTGGAAGTAGACTGTAAATCGCTAACTCTTCCTACATAATTTTATTTATTTCTGTGCTTCTGGTCAGTTTTTTTTTTTTTTGAGGACAGTTGATTTGCAATGTTGTCTTATTTTCTGCTGTACAGCAAAATGAACCAGTTATAATAGACATGCTGCTGCTGCTAAATCGCTTCCATCAAGTCCGACTCTGTGCGACCCCACAGACGGCAGCCCACCAGACTCCCCCGTCCCTGGGATTCTCCAGGCAAGAACACTGGAGTGGGTTGCCAATTCCTTCTCCAATGTGTGAAAGGGAAAAGTGAAAGTGAAGTCGCTCAGTCAAGTTCGACTCGGTAGCGACCCCATGAACTGTAGCCTACCAGGCTCCTCCATCCATGGGATTTTCCAGGCAAGAGTACTGGAGTGGGTTACCACTGCCTTCTCCATAATAAACATATATCCGCTCTTTTTAAGATTCTTTTCCAATACAAGTCATTACAGAGCACTGAGTTCCCTGTGCCATTCAGCAGGACATTATTAGTTACTCATTTTACACACAGTAGTGTGTACATGTCAATCCCAATCTCCCAATTTATCCCTTCCTGTAGTTTTAAATTAATGGTGAATATCAATCAGTGACAGCATTCCTGAATGAAAAGTTCCAATCCAGTAACTGGCACAGTAATCTTTAATTAATGAATTCATGATAGAAGAATTAAGCCTTGGCCTTTACAAAGAGGATATTACCAAAGTTATAGCATTTAAAAAAAGAGAACAGGAAAGCAGAAACTGAATACCAGTTTTTCCTCTTTTCCATACCCTCATATAACCTGTGTGCATGTTCACTACCTTTCCTCTTTCCCCACAATCCCATCAATCCTTTCTCCTACTTTAACTGGACCTGCCAGGCCCTGGGTCTGATGGTCACTTACTCATCTTGCCATCCAGTCAGTGCTTGACCGTAGTGCATTTCAATGGTCTCAGGTTTTCAACTAGTAAAAATATATGACTGGATGAGTAAACCCTTCTCTATAAACTTTTATAAAAATCGTTCATTTCACCTTAAACATGTTGAGCTTCAAAGTGTATTCCCTCATAGAGTATAATGCACCACTGCCAAGGGAAGCTCCCGCTCCCACTGGAGTCATCCAAGGAGGCTATGAGAGTGCTCCTTCTGACTTCTAAGATAAAGCTGACTCATGCCAGGAGATAACATGATTTCCCAGCAAGAGATCTTATAGCTTTAGCTGAATGAAAAACATAATTAATTAGTGGGTGATGAAGTAGCACTGTGGCTCTTAGTTTTGATTCTGAATTAAAAGCTGGAGATGAGATCCCAAGGTAAGCCAAAGCCTTGAAAACTCCACTGGCCTCAACATCACACACATATACAACTGCTGCTGAATCACTCTTTTTAGAAAGACAAAATTCTTCTAAATATTCTAAGATTTACAAGAACATGAAAAGCAATAGCTTAAAAAACAAAACAACTAATTCTATTCTGTGGGCTTAAACTGTTGAAGAGTCTACAAAACGTACCGTGTACAGAACTGGCACCAGACTGAACCTAAATTTCCAGTCTTCTAGTATTAAAGCATGAAAGGAGTTCAAATATGAAGTTAAGGTGGACCCCATCAAAGTAACTCAAAATGGAATGAAGAGAATTACATGAAAAGACAACCATGGTAAACCTTGCTGTATTAACTCCATAATAAATAAAATCACCATTTTAAAATTAAAAGCAGATATATGAAGTACCCATGATTTCAAAAAAAATTAAACCATTTGCATGGAAGATTCACTAACTCCACTTTATTATAATGTTTAAGAAACAAATACTTTTATACACATCCACTGACACAGAATGAAGTTTAAAAAAAACTAGACAATGAGTACTTTTCTGTCAACAAATCTCCTTTAAAATTATATACTAAAGTTATCACTTAAAATTTCAAAAGTTTCCCCCAAAATTCGGAATGCAAATAAACTAACAGAAAATATTTTAACATGTTCTAGAGACAGCATTACAACAAAAATAGTTGCAGCATTCAACATAATGAAGCTAGGATCAGACTTTATTTTTTTTAAAGTCATGTTCACAGTTTTTGATTTATGATTAACTCAAAACCTGATTACTACCCCCCATCAATCTCCTGTTAATTTACACTCCATCCACTAGGCTCATGGCTCAGGCGGTAAAGCATCTGCCTACAATTCAGGAGACCAGAGTTCAATCCCTGGTTTGGGAAGATCTCCTGGAGAAGGAAATGGCAACCCCCTCCAGTATTCTTGCCTGGAAAATCCCATGGACAGAAGAACCCAGTAGGCTACCATCTATGGGGTCGCAGGAAATGGCAACCCACTCCAGTATTCTTGCCTGGAATATCCCATGGACAGAAGAACCCAGTAGGCTACCATCTATGGGGTCGCAAAGAGTCAGACATGACTGAGTGACTTCATTTTCACTTTCAGGCTCATGTTGCCTATCTTTTCAGTAAGTTCTTTCAGTTTGAAAAATGTATCTGGTTCATTTAACTTTTAGACAGTCAAGTAAATAATTAACCATGATATATTTGAATATCTTTATAATTTTTCAAAATCATCAAAACTATTAAGAAAAGACTGAAAAAATACAGCCAATTAAAAAATTTTGACTCTCCTAGGCCTGTATACAGAAATAAACAATGAATTCCAAATTTGACTGACTAGTAAGTCATAAGTGAGTAATATTTCCCAACATTTTTTTCCTACATTAACAGACTCAAGTGTATAGCGGTTGCTACAAGGGATTACTCTGTTCTAGAAATGTTAGTACCCTGTATATACTCAGTTTAATCCCTTTCAATCATCTCTCAAGGTGATAAAGGTAATCATTTATATCCACTTTAAAATATAGATTTTAAACTTTAAAATCAGATTAAGAATCAGAGCAAAAATTACATGCAACTTTAAATAACCTTATATAAATGGCTGGGACTTTTAAAAACCAAGCTGACCCTTATTGTTCTAGTGGTTTTCAAACCTTTTAGAGCAATGCAATCTTATTTTCAAAGGATCTATCAGAATCCCCATCTCAAAAAATTAAAGCATAGCTGCCTGTATCAAACTCAAATATCCATCATATCCATTGCCCAACAAAGCATGCAGAAACAAGGTTGGAAAACTCCTGGCCTCAGTTCCTGTGCCAGGCAGATCCATACCAGTGGGATCCACAGTTCCTACCCTCAAGAAATCCACGCAATTTATTCAGTGTTATTAGTGCTACTGTTATCAGAAATCTGTGCAGTCAACAGACATGATACTTCAGTTAGGTTGGTTCCAAATCAGGAAAAGGAGTATGTCAAGGCTATATATTGTCACCCTGCTTATTTAACTTATATGCAGACTACATTATGTGAAATGCTGGGCTGGATGAAGCATAAGCTGGAATCAAGACTGCTGGGAGAAATATCAATAACCTCAGACAGGCAGATGACACCACCCGCATGGCAGAAAGCGAAGAACCAAAGAGCCTCTGATCAAAGTAAGATAGGAGAGTGAAAAAGCTGGCCTAAAACTAAGATCATGGTATCTGGTCCCATCACTTCATGGCAAATAAATGGGGAAACAATGGAAAAAGTGAGAGACTTTATTTTGGGTGGCTCCAAATCACTGCAGATGGTGACTGCAGCCATGAAATTAAAAGACGCTTGCTCCTTGGAAGAAAAGCATAACCAACCTCGTCAGAATATTAAAAAGCAGAGACACTATTTTCCAACAAAGGTCTGTCTGGTCAAAACCATGGTTTTCCCAGTAATCATGTATGGATGTGAGAGTTGAACTATAAAGAGGGCTGAGTGCCAAAGAATAGACGCTTTTGAACGGTGGTGTTGGAGAGGACTCTTGAGAGTCCCTTGGACTGCAAGGAGATCCAACCAGTCAATCCTAAAGGAAATCAATCCTGAATATTCACCGGAAGGACTGATGCTTAAAGTGAAATTCCAATACTTTGGCCACCTGGTCCAAAGAACTGACTCCTTGGAAAAGACCCTGATGTTGGGAAAGATTAAACGCAGGAGGAGAAGGGGATGACAGAGGATGAGATGGTTGGATGGCATCACCGACTTGATGGACATGAGTCTGAGCATGCTCCAGGAGCTGGTGATGGACAGGGAAGCCGAGTGTGCTGCAGTCCATGGGGTGCAAAGAGCAGGACATGACTGAGCAACTGGACTGACTGAGAGACAGAAATTCTAGAAGCCAAGGAACTGAAGCAAAAAGAACTCTGTGCCAAGTGAGTTAAGGGGAGAAAGACATCTGGCCACCTTCCTCACCCTAAGCAACCTTACATTTGCTAAGGAAGAATTTCCCAGGGGCAGGGTAGCAGTACCTGTCAAAAGATATGCAGAAGTCTACACAAATACATTTCCTTCTATTTACTTTGGAAATACAGATAACTATGTAGCACACAATTCAGATCACAATCACCTGTAACTTACTCCTTGAATCGTAATTCAATACAATTTGATATTTCATAGACAAATCTTTCAGTATCAATTCAATGTTTATAGAGAACATTTCAATGTTACCTTTCTTCCAATTGCTCCATTTTGTTTTTTTGGAGGTGGAGGCTCAAAGATGCGTTGCTGCTGCTGAGGTGGGAGTGTGGAATACAATGGAATGATTTTGATGTCACCGACTTCAGGGCCCAAATCATCAACCTCGCGCTTTATTCTCTTACAGGCTTCATCAATTTCCTACAAAATAAAAGTTGAAGTGTGCAAACAAAATGAGTACACACTGAAACGTTTTAAGTATTTACCATAATCGTAGTTCTATGCAGCTTATTTTAGTAATCACAATTAATTCGGCAAATTTCATTGGCATTTCAAAAATAATCCAAGAAACTTTGATTTCTCTAGTCACATAAAGACACAATTGCCTTATTGGCATTCTACACCCTTTTTTCTTAAGAGTCAATGTCCTAATTAAGTCTCAACAAATTGTACCAAAATTGAAATTTCTCACCCAGGAATATTTAACTGCACTCATAACCTTTTCAATTTTCACAATCTACAAGAACTTGATGTGCAAGATATTTTAAATAAGCCAATTAGGCTTTAATGTCACGTATCACTAATGCAATTATATGGAAGATTTGCTTCATTGTGGCTAATGAGAACACACACCTCTACAGTATCAACATAGATATTTAAGAACTAGGTTAACCCAAGTATCTTAAAGCCTCTTCAAAAATTTCCCTAATAAACGAAACAATTCCAACGCACTTGCATTTAATTCCAGGTTTCAAGAGAGGACACAATGAATACTGGGAGGGTGTGAGAGACAGAGGTAGGTGAAGGCTCTAGGGGATGGCAAAGGGACTTTAACATGGGAAGGGAGCTATATTTAAAATTTTACAGAAGCTTTAATTCAGTTAAACTCAGAAGTACGGTAAATGATTTGGCAGTATGGCCAATATCAATCAGAAGTTACCCTTATCGACAAATTATCTTTTATTCAAAAACAGAACAATTTAAAAAAATTTACCAAGTAAACTTATTGTATATTATAATCAAGCTAGAATAATTTTCCTTAAAATGATTTTTTAACTGAAGTGCAACTTTGTTTCCGTGGTAAAAAAAAAATACACTTAAGAACAAAAAAAAAAGTTTAGATCAATTTAAAACATATCAGCTTTCTGGAGTATTGATAAGGTCTTAAAAACTGTGACACAGAAAATTACTAAAGAGCTTATATACCAATTTCCTTTGAGTTATACAGTTACCAAAAGAAATGAAAGTTTGCTATTCATTGAAAAAATATATGTATTTTTACCAAAAAACTGCTTTCAAATGCTGTATCTAGATTAGAATGCCCCCTGCTGGTACACAAAAACAAAATTAGATCTTAAAAAAAAAAACACAAACACAATATAAACCCAAAACTATATATCTCTCTTAAGAAAAAAAAAAAAATATATATATATATATATACTCTTTTAGGAAAATTGAAGACAAATTCAGAATATTTTTCAATTCTGTTAATTCAGAAGTCACCAAATACCAGATTTTATACAGAAAATTAAGAGTTCCAAATCATGCATTTACAGACTCTAGTAACAAGATTATTCCAAATTTATTTGAAACAATCTGCTAAGCATGTATGGAGCTGAAACAAAATCACTACTGCATGTGATATAAAGACAACTCTAAAGAGTGAGGGAAAAAAAAATCCCAGTTTATGTTTTTATGTAGACAAAGTTCTAAACATTATTTTTTTAAACTTGGCAACAAAATTTTCCCTAAATTTAACTGAACTTTCAGAGTCAACACTGACAGTTCGAAAGACAAGAAAGCTCATAGATATTCATCAGCACAATGCAATCTTTTGCCTAGTCATGAACTGAGACAAAAGTTCAAGAGTTTCTGAATTGAGCAAGACTTACAGCTCCAAAAGCATCAACATCTGTTAGCAAATGAAGTTAGACCCTACGAAAGAACCTAAACTCCTGCATGTTGGACTTACCTGGTGGCTCAGACGGCAAAGCGTCTGCCTGCAATGCGGGAGAGACCTGGGTTCGATCCCTGGGTTGGGAAGACTCCCTAGAGAAGGAAATGGCAACCCACTCGAGTACTCTTGCCTAGAAAATCCCATGGACGGAGAAGCCTGGTGTCCATGGAGTCACAAAGAGTCGGACACGACTGAGCGACTTCACTCACTCACTCACTCACATGTTGAAAAGACTAATTTTACTCAGTGAAATTAAAGAAGAAAAATGTATTGCTTAAAGAACGAAGAGTTCAACATCTTCAAGTATCCACTTAAAACAAGTCATATTTCAATCACAACCATTATTATCAAACTTGGTAGCACAGCTCCTCTAGGGAGTTCTACTAGGAACACCTGGTTTAATGGATTAACAACAACAACAAAATCAACATTCACGTTTTCCAAACCCTCACTAATTAAACCTGGTCTTCCCCTCCCAAATTAACTCAAGGGACTATAGAAACACTATTGTTTACATGGTCAAAATGGTAATATGGTTGTCATTTTTAAGTTTTGAGATAGCTAAATTTTATGGATACTATTCAAATTTATGGAGATGAGGTACAGAACTCCCAGAATCTATCACTTATCTGACCAAATAAAGTAACAGGCTCACAGACATGAGGAAGAATAGTACTGCTACCTTCTCCTCAAAGGTCTTCAAGTTCCTCAAGACTAGCTAATCATATAAAAGAAACTTAAAAATGCAACAGGATACATGAGATAATTGGGGCTTATTCCTTTCCTTTCCCCAGTTGTGGGAGAGCTGCCAAAGTATCACCCACAGAAATTCAACTCATTGAAAAGCATTTCAGGTCCTCACCAGAAGGCCATCTGATATTTCTTATAGAATTCTAATGTGCTTGACTATCTGAACATAATGATTATTTTGAATAGCCATTTAAAAAAAACATGCTACTCACTCTAGAGAAAATGAGAAACTAGGGACCAGACACCAAAGAACAAAATGAACACAAATGCCTCAACACTGCAAAATATAAAAAGATTCTTCAATTCAAAATGCATACAGACTAATAGAGAGGTTTATCTGTAAAAGTGAATTTGCAACACACCATATTTCCCAAAAGAACAAGTATGATTCTTTACTGGAAATGTTTGCAAACCGGGGGAGTGTATCTACATCTAATGGGTAAAGGCCAGAGACACAATAAGCACCTCACTACGCATGGGGTTACCACAGCAAAGAATTAATCAGCCTACAACATAAATAGTGCTGGAAAAAATAGAAATAGTACTGGGAAAAAACTCAAGAATAAAAAGATTACTAAACATTTATAGTTCTTAATGCAACAATATTTAATTAAATATTATGTATCAAGCATCCCTGTAGAACCTGAACACCAGTTAAGAGTTCACATTATCCTGGAGGTTAGGCAGTCACATACCAGACTACTGATTTTGGTATGTGAAAGAACTAGGGCAATTTCCCACTATACTGTGTAGGGTGGTGTCACTAATGTACCACGGGCATTATAATAGCTAAAACATTCACCTGGAACAGTGACTTTTAACCTAAGGGAACAGAAAAATGGCCTTTAGAGCTTGTTAAGGATGCAGATTCTTACAGCACTTCATCCGCGAATTTCATCTGTTTTCAGCAAGCCTGAAACAGGGTTAAGAACTGCTTTAACAAATTCCCCTACCCAAGGCAGGCAATCCACTGACCACACTTGAGAAAAAAATGTTCTAGGGCAGGGATCAGATCTCTTACTATAAAGGGCCAAAATTTTTTAAGCTTTGCATCCATATACCACCTCTGAAGCAAATTCTTTGTTTTCATGTACAACCCTTTAAATACGTAAAAACAATTCTTAACTAGCAGACCACACAAAAACTAAAACAAGAAGAGGATCAAGCACATGTAACTAAATTAACTAAAATTCTATAAAATTAAATTCTAGTTCCTCCTCTCACTAGCTGCAATGCAAATTCTCAAGTCCATTATATTGTTGCGGCTACAAAAACTAAGATTGTGATCTGGTTTCATCACTTCATGGCAAATAGATGGGGAAACAATGAAAACAGTGACAGACTTTATTTTGGGGGACTCCAAAATCACTGCAGATGGTGACTGCAGCCTTGAAATTAAAAAACGCTTGCTCCTTGGAAGAAAAGCTATGACAAACCTAGACAGCATACTAAAAGGCAGAGACATTACTTTGCTGACAAAGGTCTGTCTAGTCAAAGCTATGGTTTTTCCAATAGTCATGTATGGATGTGAGAATTGGACTATAAAGAAAGCTGAGCGCCAAAGAATTGATGCTTTTGAACTGTGGTGTTGGAGAAGACTCTTGAGAGTCCCTTGGACTGCAAGGAGATCCAACCAGTCAATCCTAAAGGAAATCAATCCTGAATTTTCATTGGAAGAGCTGATGCTGAAGCTCCAATTTTGGCCACCTGATGTGAAGAGGAGCTAACTCATTGGAAAAGACCCTAATGCTTACAAAAGACTGAGAGTAGGAGAAGGGGGCAATAGAGGATGAGATGGTTGGATGTCAACACTGACTCACTGGACATGAGTGTGAGCAAACTCAGGGAGATAGTGAGGACAGGGAAGACTGGTGTGCTGCATTCCAATGGGTTGCAAAGAATCAGACATGACTGAGCAACTGAACAGCAACAACTATATTCAACAGTATTGATATAAAACATTTCCAGATGGGAAGTAAGTTCTAATGGAGTAGCACTGTTCTAGAAACTTACTCGGAACAGACTCTCAGATCAGACCCTACACCTGACCTAGCGAATAAAAATCTGCAAGATTTCCAAATGACTGGCATGTATATTAGGTTTGAGAAGGACACTAGAAAATTCACAAAGCCTATTACAACAAATGACAAGCTTTCAGAAAACCTCTAAAAGAGTTTCTTTCATCCAGATAACTCACTGAACTTATTTAAGCCATCAAGAATTTCACAGCACACCTGTAAACATCCTGATGGAAATGAGTTTAGAAGATGCTGCATGAGAGAATAAAATTCCTATCTTAAAAATGATGTAAATTCTAACTAAAGAATTTCAGTGATTCCTTCCAATTCTCAGTAAACACATGCAGGAAGACAAAAACAAAATACAAACATTTGTTTTGATGGTAGATTGGCACCTGAGTTACCCAAATTCACTTACAAACTAAATTACTGCCTAGAGTAACCAGATTTCATTCATGTCTCAGCAGAATGGCAAATCAGCACAAAAACACTTGCCACTCAGGTCTCTCCAAAGTTGAGACTAAAACTGCTAAATCTTGAACTTCTAAAAGCATTTAATATTCTCAGGATATCAACTAGAACACAAAGGCTAATGGCATACAAGGGTATATTCCTAGAGTACATAAATAAAAGGAGCTATATATTTCATATATAAATACAATCATGCTGAAGAAAAACTTTACAGACATTGGGATGAGAAATACATGGTTAATATATGTTGGGTTCTTAAGTTTAAAGTTGTTTCCTAATAGAAATAATATAAATAAGGAAGCAAATAATGACAATACCTCTTGACCAGTTAAGAAAAGTAGCAGATCTCCTTCCTCCTCTTCACACATATGAATTTGGATCACGGTTCGAATTGCCGCTTCAAGATAATCTCTCTCTGGTTCGGGAGTATAAAAGATCTCAACAGGATGTGTACGCCCAGGAATAGTTAAGAGAGGACAGTTATCAAAGTAAATCTGGAATTTTCCTGCATCCAGAGTAGCACTCATAACTATAACCTGAAAAGAAAATAGTAAATTATTTGAAGCTCTCTTCAAAGACTGTAAAGAGATGAGTAATGTTTACTGCTCCATATATATCAACCACTGTGTCTCTAGTGGCTCAGACAGTAAAGAATCGGTCTGCAATGCAGGAGACCGTGGTTCTATCCCTTGGTCAGGAAGATCCCCTGGAGACAAGAAGGGCTACCCACTCCAGTATTGTTTCCTGGAGAATTTCAAGGACAGAGGAGCAAGGCGGGCTACTCTATGGGGTCACAAAGAGTCAAGACAAGACTGAGCAACTAACACTTTCACTCTTCATATATCGATTATGCCTTAAAAGTTGTGATAAAAAAATCAAATATAGAAAAGCTGAGCTACAGTAAATTTACATTTTTAAAAAAGTAGGAATAAACCTGGTATCCAATAAATAAACTACCATATATTTTCATGAAGCAACACCTTAAAAACCAAAGTTTATAAAATCACATAAAAAGAACTGATAAGACATCAGTATGTAATATGATTGTTTCTATGCTATTAAAAAAAAACATGACAGCCTTGCACACAGGGAAAAACAAAGAAGCAAAAAAAAATAAAATAAATCAGTGGTACAAATATTTCTCCATTCTTCCAAATCATCTTTACTAAGCATAAGTTCTCCAGAAAATTTTCTGAAACAAACAGGTTTTCTATACTACTGAAAAAGCCACATCGACAAAAGTCTGTTCAGGTGCAGGCTGCATGACTGTGTGGTCACCCTCTCTTTATTTAAACTACACATGACAAAACCCATTAAATAGAAAGCTCTCCCATTAAACATTCCATTATAGAGTTCTTAATTTCTACTTTTGAGTTCCTCCCTCGAAATTTCAATAGCTTATAACGTTTAATCAGGAACAGTACTCATAGTTATTCAAATATATTCTTTAAAAGTTTAATTTTTAAAGTCAAATCAAACTCAGTATCAATTTTTTTAAGACCCAGAATCTTTCTCCCCAGTGTACAAACCTCTGTAACACATACAATAACACTCAATACTAAGTTCCAATGAACTGCACACATACAATACAAAAAGGGAACTTCATAAAATTTGGGAGACAAAAATGTCCACACAGTCAGTTTTAAGCCCTTATCAACACAGTAACACTGGCCAGGGTTTAACTGGTATAATGGACGGTGGGCGGGGGGCTGGGGGCAAGAACCAAGACCCTAGGTTAAGGGAAGGCATTTCTGAGGAGCAGTATGTTGTGCAGTTATTCCACTCTCCAGCATTATGAGTTAGAATGATTGAGTTTGTGTTAGGACAAGAACAAAGATTTGATCCTTAATGAAGGTGTCCCCTGTACTTAATAAAAAGCAGGGTGAGCACAAGGTTTGAAAACACCATGACATAAAATCATTTGAAATGAAACAAAAAACTGGGTGGACTATATAATGAAAATGATTAAAAACATATTGCTAAGAAGTGGAAGTATATTTAAAATCTAAAACAAAGACACAGCAAGAGAAATTAAAAAGAATGTATAAACCACTGCTGGCACTCTCCTTATTTGCTTTTATAGGTGATTATTTTTATAGTTGTAGTGATCAGCATGTACTCCCTTTTAAATATATATATTTTCATATATAGGATTTTTAAAGAACCGAACAAATAAACTAATTCACCTTTAAATCTGATCTCTGTCTAACAACCTCCTTCAGAACACCCATGAGAATATCTGTAGCCAATGTCCTTTCATGAGCCTCATCAAGAATTATTACACCATAACGCTCCAAGAGAGGGTCATTCATTGCTTCACGAAGTAGCATCCCATCAGTCATATACCTATATTGACAAATAACGTGTTGGTTATTTAGTGCATTTAAAGTTCAAGACATAAATATGAAATGCAAAGACATCAGATAAATATAAATTAAACCCTTGTCCAAAACAAATGTGTTATTATTTCATAATCAATTACAAATTCAAGCTTCCAGAGAAACTTTTTAGTAAATTTATCAAACAAGTTATACATTATCTAATTCTGTCAAATGAAACTATTGTAATACCAAAATGCACTGAGAAACCATGTTAATCTGATAACAGAATTAAACACATTTCACACAAATGCCAAAGTGAAAATGGTCACTTAAATAAATTTCTTAAAAAAAAAAAAATTTAAAATGTTCAACTTGAAAAAAAAAAACCAAGAAACCATTTTAAATTGCTTTATCACATTACAGCACTAAAATGTTGTATTTCTTTAAAACTGCACTAACTTCCCACTTAAGCTAACAGGTTCAAAAGGGCTGAGAGAGCATGAGTCTACCATCTTTTTTTCCTCAGCTCTAATTCAATAAAATGATGGTAAAGAATCAGAAAAAGGAATCTATTATGCCGTGGAAATGCTGATAAATTATGGAAAAAACAAGGCATACAGCATTATCTTTTTCAATGAACCAAAGAGGAAAACTAGGTTTAGGGATGGTTTGAGAGAAGACAGCTAATACAGAATCCAGGCACTCAGATGAAGGGTGATTTGAAGAATGATTTGTATGGGTCAGTGAATCTCCTGTCTGTTCCATTCTGGCTGCTACTGTCACTAAAACAAAACATCCTGCATTTGGCACTTGGACAAAATGAAGTCTGCTTGCAAATGCTGAAGTTACAGGCCATCCAGTTAAATACAAATCCATGGTTTTATTTACTTAATTAAAACAAGTATAAAAATCTGAAGCCATCATTTATGACTTCAGTATTCTGGCTCTATTTTTCACAAATCAATCTAATCTTTCAAGGACCAACTTTGTATTTTTAGCCAAAACCATCTGTTGAAGCACTGAGTTCAACAAAATGACAGTGTATAACCCAAGTGAACCCTTCTCTTTATTCTGCCTAAACTTAGTTGTAAATTAAGACTTTTGGCAAAGAAAGACATCTTTACTTCATATATTTTATACTTCTTTCTTCTTTGGTCCCATTTTAAAAAGGAAATGGTCACATTCTTGACATTGGCACAGCACTACCTGCAAGATTATTTTATATTAAGACCATGAAAGCAAAAAGAGAGCCAATTAAACTATGCCTCAATGCCTTACCCACAGTGCATGAATCAACTACTCTCGTCTCTAGATGTTCTGAAATATCGTGATCAATGAGGACACTTGGTAATTTCCGCTGCCAGCAGGTGTTACTACTGACACAAGCTAGGCAGGCCTTGTGCACATTATCTCAGCAGCAGAGCACTAACACACTTTCATCTACTTGTGGGTAATTTCCTTAGTTTCAGCAATACTCCCATCGTTTGCTTTGCAAGGCAAAAAACATGGACTGGTCACTCTTTGAACAATATCTGCTTTAACACTACCAAATTATACCCTGTTAAGTTTCCAAGCCTACTGAATTCAACATGGAATTTTAGTGTAGTATTTTTGAAAATACTGTAATTAACAAATGAACTCAACATATCTAGTTCCAGATATACGTACTATTTATGTAAAGTGACAAAATGTACAGCTAGATCAAGTTCAATCATTGACAACCACCTAACTTCCACCTGTAAGACCCTCAGCACTGTAAAATGCATTCTAATGTCACATATTAAATTGTGATTAAAAAGTCACTAAGTATCAAACTTTCACTTGAAAACCCCTTTAAAAAACAATACCCGTTTATTTTGATTTTTCCTCAACAAGCTTCAGACCACCACGTGATGATGACATCCAAAAGCAGAGCTGGCCCAAACACTCATTCTTTCATATTTTTCTGAGAAGAGGGCAGGGATTAAAAATGGCAGCTTATAGCTATAATTAATGAACTATTATTTGCTCTTTTATTAACAATTATGCATTATCACCTGTACCAAGTTAAATGGCCAACTAAACCCAAATCCTCAGACTTCCAGATTCTAGAATCAGAATTAACATAATTAAATTTGCTGCTTTCCCACGGAGTATTAGCAGTTAACTTTTCCAGGGCTTTAAAATCAGTGGAATAGACCACTAAGACTAGGTATCAGTGTACCGATTCCCAGTCCCAGGCCCCTCAGACACTAACATACACTCCCCAAAGCCCCACGACTTTCCTGGTGATGCAAGGACTGAGAATTCGCCTGCCAACGCCGGGAACACAGGCTTGATTCCTGGTCTGGGACGATTCCACACGCCCAGGGGCAAATAAACCCAGGCACAGCTAGTGAGCCTGTACTCCAGAGCCCAGAGCGCAACTACTGAGCCTGAACACCCTAGAGCCCTTGCTCCACAACGAGGAGCCAGAGCACGGCAACAAAGGGCAGCCCTCACTCGCCACAATGAGAGAAAGCTCTCGTGCACAAAGAAGAAAAATTTTAAACAAGCCCAGAAAAAAAAAGTAGAAAGCTATCACCTGATATTTGCTAGATACATGAAACCCTTTCCCAAAAAACCAAAGTAACCTGATAGAATACAAAAAGGGCAGAACCAGGTTCTGATAGCCCTAACTATTTTCTTTTACCCAGATCAAGTTTTTCTACCTTTCATAGTAGCAATTAAATATTTACCCAGACTAAGGGGTGAGCCATAAAAATAGGGCGTCACAATAATAAGCTGTAATTATATAATTTTGAAGTTTCATTAATGGACTAGTAACCAAAATATCCCAGGACAGCCAAACTCTACATTTTACTAGGTATCCTATTATCCACAATGTTTCTCTAACTGTCTTGGGAAAATACTAGCTTAAAAAGTCATCAGTATCATCTAGGAACTTGTTAGAAATACAGAACTGGCCTCACTTGGGATCTACTTGATCAAAAAATTTGCAGAGATAGCAACCTGTGTTTGCTTTCACATTTCACATTTTGATGCTTGCTAAACTACAGTTAGTCACTCAGTTGTGACACTTTGTGACCCCATGAACTACAGCACACCAGGCTCTCCCATCCATGGATTTCCCTAGGCAAAGATACTGGAGTGGGTAGCCATTCCCTTCTCCAGGGGACTTTCCTGACCCCCAGGTATCCAACCCGAGTCTCCTGCACTGCAGGCAGATTTCTTTACCATCTGACTTATTACTGTTTATTTATATTTAGACTACAGAAATGAAGTTAGACAAAAAGCAAATTCAAGTAATTTTTTATTCAAGTTCAAAATGGGTTGTAGAGCTGCAAAGACAACTTGCAGTATCAACAATGTGTTTCGCCCAGGAACCGCTGAAGAACGCATAGTGCAGCAGCAGTTCAAGCAGTTTTGCAAAGGAGACAAAGCCTGGAAGATGAGTAGCACGGGGCTGGCCATCGGAAGTTGCCAACAACCAAATGAGAGAAATCACTGAAGACGATCCTCTCATAACTAGATGAGATGCTGTCGAAGAACTCAACTATGACCATTTTATGGTCGTTCAGCATTTGAAGCAAACTGGAAAGGTTTGCTGAAAACGCCCGGTAAGGGGGTACCTCGTGAGCTGACCACAAATCAAGAAAACTGTCGTTCTGAAGTGTTGTCTTCTCTTATTCCATGCAACAACAGCGAACCATTTCTCAATCATATTGCAATGTGTGACAAAAAGTGGATTTTATACTACAACCACCAAATACTAGCTCAGTGGTTAGACCAAGCAGCAGCTCCAAAGCACTTCCCAAAGCCAAATTTGTACCAAAAAAGGTCACAGGCACTGTTGGGTCTCTGCCCATCTGATTCACTACAGCCTTCTGAATCCTGAGGATACCATTACATCTGAGAAGTATGCTTGGCAACTCAATAAGATGCACTGAAAACTGCAATGCCTGCAACCATTAGTCAACAGAAAAGGCCCAATTCTTTGTCACGACAATGCTCGACTGCAGTTGCACAACCAACACTTCAAAAGTCAAACAAACTGGTCTACGAAGTCTTGTCTCATCCGCCATACTCACCTGACTTCTCACCAACCAACCAGCACTTCTTCAAACATCTTGACAACTTTTTTGCAGGGAGAATGCTCCCACAACCAGCAAGGAGGCAAAAAGTGCTTTCCCAGAGTTGAAGCATGGATTTTTTTTTTTTACACTACAGGAATAAACAAACTTACTTCTTGTAGGCAAAAATTTATTAATAAAGATGTGTTTGAGACTAGTTGCAATGATTTAAAATTCACTGTCTAAAACTGCAATGGTATTTAAAAAATTATTTTTTCCACTCATGATCTTTTAAATTGAAGTATAGTCAATTAAGGGCTTCCCTAGGAGCTCATCGTTTCAGGACAAATAGATGGGGAAACAGTGGAAACTGGCTGCCTTCATTTTTGGGGGGCTCCAAAATCACTGCAGATGGTGATTGCAGCCAAGAAATTAAAAGATGCTTACTCCTTGGAAGTAAAGTTATGACCAACCTAGACAGCCTATTAAAAAGCAGAGACATTACTTTCCAACAAAGGTCTGTCTGGTCAAGGTTATCTACGGTTTTTCCAGTAATCATGTATGGATGTGAGAGTTGGACTATAAAGAAAGCTGAGTGCCAAAGAATTTATGCTTTTGAATTGTGGTGTTGGAGAAGACTCGAGAGTCCCTTGGACAGTAAGGAGACCCAACCAGTCCATCCTAAAGGAAATCAGTCCTGGGTATTCACTGGAAGGACTGATGTTGAAACTGAAACTCCAATACTTTGGCCACCTGATGCAAAGAGCTGACTCATTTGAAAAGACCCTGATGTTGGGAAAGACTGAAGGCAGAAGAAGGGGATGACAGAGGATGAGATGGTTAGATGGTATCACCAACTCAATGGACATGAGTTTGGGTAAATTCCGGGAGTTGGTGATAGACAGGGAGGCCTGGTGTGCTGCGGTTCATGGGGTCGTAAAGAGTCAGACACGATTGAGTGACTGAACTGAAC